AACTCTACAGCTGATAAGAGAGCGATTCTACTGGCCAAATATGTCCCTGGAAGTTAAATTGTGGTGCGAGCAGTGAAAGATGTTGTCTCAGGAAGACCCCTGCAAGCAGTATTGGAGCTCCCCTTGTCAGCATCCATAGCAATGCACCCATGGCTTGTGTATGTGGACTTTCTCTGCCTGGAAAAATCAAAAGGGGGATTGAAAATGTGCTTGTTGTAACAGATCACTTTTCTCGTTATGCACAAGCGTACCCCACCAAAGACCAAAAAGCACGCACTGTAGCCAAGGTTCTGTGGAAGAATTTCTTCTGCCGGTTCGGTTTTCCAGCAAAGCTCCATGCAGATCAAGGACGCAATTTTGAGAGTGCAATTGTAAAAGAACTCTGCAAGATCACTGGGATTACTAAGACCCACACCACCCCATATCACCCACAGGGCAATGGGACCACTGAAAGATTCAACAGGACTCTAATGAATATGCTGGGAACTCTGCCACCTCACCTAAAGCCGAGGTGGCATGAATATGTGGATGCCATGACCCATGCTTACAACTGCACAAGACATGACTCAACTGGATACACTCCTTACTATTTAATGTTTGGGAGACATCCCAGACTTCCAGTGGATCTGGTGTTTGGGACCTCAACTTCTGATAGCCAAGCTGGCTACAGTGACTATGTGCAGACACTACATGACTGCCTGCTGGAGGCTTATGCACAGGCTAATCACAGTTCTAGGATTGCCAAGGAACAACAAAAGAAGTACTATGATCAAAAAGCAAAGGATCAAGTGTTCAGCCCAGGGACCGGGTGCTGGTCAAAATATGTCATGTGGAAGGACGGCAGAAGCTTGGAGACAAGTGGGAGACGCGTCCATATATTGTAGTGAAGAAACAGCCTGAAATTTCAGTATATGTGGTACAACCGGAGGATGGTGGCCCAGAAAGAGTGGTTCACAGAAACCTTCTCACCCAGTGCATGTTTATCCCGGTAGAGGAGGTAGGCAAACCTACAGCTGAGGGGGAGGAATCAGATTTAGATCTAAAAGAGACCAGTTTAGAGGCAGACCTTCAACAGAATGCAGATGCAGTCAGCATGGAGGAAACTGGACCTTCTCTGTGGCTTGGAGAAATTAACCAAAAAGACAAACAAGCCAGCCAAGAGGAAGGGGATAAAGCAGGAGAAAATGCACCCCATGGCAGTCTGGATTCACAGCAGAGCAGTGGGATTCCAAGAAAAAACCCACCTAGGACCAGACGTCCTCCAAAAAAGCTGTCGTATGAATCACAGGTCACAAAAACAGAAGAGGAGCAGCAGAAGATAGAAAGAGGATGGAAGCTGTGGCAGAGGGAAAAGGCAAAGAGGACTCACAGGCACACATAGAACATCAAACAACACACAAACATACATATCGTACAAGATAAATCTGAGAAATACACTTTATTGTTGATAAGACTGTTAAGGGTCCTTTCAGTTAATTGTTCTTATGTTCTGTTTAGTTTTATGGCAGAGACGCCATCAAATAAAGAAGGGGTAGATGTAAAGCAGTGTATAGACATTCCAAAAGAGGGTGCTGTTGCGCTCGGTAATTACTGCACTATCGCAAATGTAACATGTTTGTCCTGCTGGGGACTCCGTAGTGCAGGGTATTTTTGTGCGCGAACCGCTGTATTCTTTACAGTGTGTTTATTGCTTGCAAGGTAAGCAGCAGTTCCGCTAGTCCGTGCAACATGTTGTACATTAGATTAATATACCAAACCGTTGCTGTTTGTTCGGTTTGCCAGTTGTTTGTTTGTACTGATAATGTTTGATTGTTGTGTGAAAGGGGAAGGATTGAATTGTGACAGTGTGTTTATTGCTTGCAAGGGTGGATGAAATAAAAGCGCGAAAGTCTGAAGAGCCCTGTGTCTGATTCCGCCCCTGCACGGATCACACCCCGCCTTCACCATAAAACACAACGCAGAGCCTAGGGTGTCTTCCATCAGTTGCAGATTGCAGATTTAGGGTCGGAAAGCCTGGGTTACACTGACATCCAGGACGCACAGCAGCAGTGATTCCACACTGATTTGACAGTTAGTGTTCCTCTTTTGCCACCAGGTGGCAGCCTTGGCTTGCTCTAAAATGGGTGGTTACAATCCCTAATGTTGTAATTGTGTAGTAGCATTTATTTATTTATTTATTGTAACAGCGTGGTTTGTTGGACTGGTATGCCGAGCTCTTCTGGGTGAACCCCGGCCAGCCGAGAAACATAGTCCCTCCAGCGTGTCGCAGGTCTTCCCCGGGGCCTCCTCCTGACGGGATGTGCCCAGAACGCCTCATCAGGGAGGCATCCTGACCAGATGCCCGAGCCACCTCAACCGGCTCCTCTCGACGTGAAGAAGCACCATCTATTACTATTACATCGGCTATTACTATAGCAACAGAACACAGAGAAAGGCGGGGCTGCTGGTTTGGACTACAAAGACGCCATCTCTGTAGTTCTAACTATGACGGAACACTAATGTGGCCATTTAAAATAGCTTACTGAAAATCTGAAAATAAATGCCTCTATTTACCTCTCAGAGTGGTGCAGTGCCTCAGGCGGTACATTAATATTGGTGTTTTAGAATGACAATGATTGAAGGTTAGAACTACAGACATGGTGGATCACTCAGTTACCTCAGGCGAGGGCTGAGTTAGCAGTTAAGAACTACAATAATGGTGGCACTCTTATTGCAGAAGAAGGCTGAGCAGAATGTTAGAACTGCAGACATAGTGGAATGAAGACAATAATTTTGGCTCATTGTAGCTTATTTAAGAAACTTAAGAACCTTTCTAAATTTTAATTTTTCACTATTTCTTGATTCCTGTTGTACTCTTGTACAGAGAGGGTAGCTTGCGGAAACTGACTGTGACATTACCATGATGAAATGACATTCTTACTTAAGATGACAACATGGAGAAATGCAATTCAAATGTCTGTCATTGTTGGTGTACCCACATGCCATGCTATGTGGCAGTTTCTCACATTCAGCTATGTGTAGGTTGGAAGGACTGTGCAAATAGTGAGACTGTAAAGGTAAAATGAATGGACACAACACCGGTAACCATTTGAAGTAATTTAGAGGCTTTTATTTTTAAAACACAAGTCCAGAGAATGTAGGCAGAAGCCCAGGCATTTTGGCATTTTGAACCACTGAACTGACATGTGCACGCCTCCTTCTGGCCCTCTGTCATGTGCAGTTCTCCTTCAAACATGGACCCATTGGCCCCTTCAGGTGTAGGCAACTGCTCCAAGGTGTGGACCTCCTTCAAGTGTGGGTGAGTGGCTCCTCTCCAAGTATTGAGCCAGAACCTTCCATGCCTGTGTGTCTGTCTCAAATCTCCACTTAGTCTCACACTGCTCACTCGTTGGCCCAAAGAGACCAAAGTCCCCATGTGACTTTAGGACCCTCACATTCTGGTACCTTAATGGAAGCACAATTAGCAGTCACAGGAGGGCATTGGAGTACAGTGAATTCATTGTCATTTTTATCAGTGAAGAAGATTACTGACTTTTTATAGGGAGAAACTTCCAGCAAAACCGTACTTGGGATAACTGTCTGTGTCCTAGAAATACCTGATTCCTTTGGTAGCCCTTCATTGAAAACCTTGAATCGCTCTTAGTCTGATCCCTCCCCAATGGCAGCCTGCCCTGGGAAGCCTCACTATTGGCTGAACCCCAAGACAAAATCTCCATCTGGGTCATGGGGATACTCAAACCCCTCCACCACGTTAAGGTGGCGATTCTGCGGAGGGGTCACCAGCAGATCGCGATGGATGTTTAATCCAAGGGATCCCCCATCCTGAGCAAGCACAAGGCAACAGTGGAGAGGAAAACTCCCTTTAAAAGGAAGAAACCTCCAGCAGAACCAGGCTCAGGATGAGCAGCCATCTGCTGAGGCTGGCTGGCTTCAAGAGGGCAAAAATAAAAAAAAACACACAAACACAAAACTGTCAACAAACCTTCTGAAAGAAAGACAGATTCAATTACAATATTAGTTTACAATACACATGTTACAAAAGGGAGATCTGGGAAAGTCTATACAATAGATATTGACAGAAAATAGTCTCAGCCTGTAGCAGTAAACTACCTCTCACTGGAATCAGTCCCGAAAGAATAACATGAAACAAAAAGTTAAACTTCAATATCTGTGAATAACTTAAAGAATTGTGTTAGTGCATCATTATCTACAAAGTCATGTTGCTGTATTCCATAACCTGGACAGACAATCTTTAATTTTGATTAAGACATGAAGATGCACTGTTTTCAGAGTTTATGTTTGTGGTTGAATATGTTAATGCTCTCAGACAGTTTATGGTAAATGTACCACCAGTTTATGTAAAAGTGTCAGTGTTTCCATTTTAAATGGTGCAAAAAAGAGAACCTGAACATGGAATTGTGCCGGTGCCAAACCATCCCAGGGCAATGCAGTGAGACACAGGACAAATGACCATGTAACACATGGAGAATTAACCTAACAATTGTGTTTTTGATGTGGGAGGAAGGCGAAGAACCCGGAGAGAACCCATGCATGCCAATTTATGATGTCTGTGGGAAGAAGCTGGCGGACCCGGAGAGAACCCACACATGCTACTTTTATGTCTGCGGGAGGAAGCCGGAGCACCCGGAGAGAACCCATGCATGCTACTTTTATGTCTGCGGGAGGAAGTCGAAGCACCCGGAGAGAACCCATGCATGCTACTTTTATGTCTTTGGGAAGAAGCTGGCGCACCCAGAGAGAACCCATTGTTGCCAATTTATGATGTCTGTGGGAAGAAGCTGGCGGACCCGGCGAGAACCCACACATGCTACTTTTATGTTTGCGGGAGGAAGCCGGAGCACCCGGAGAGAACCCTTTATGCCAATTTGTGATGTCTGTGGGAAGACGCTGACGGACCCGGGGAGAACCCATTGTTGCCAACTTATGATGTCTGTGCGAGGAAGGCGAAGCACCCAGAGAGAACCCATGCATGCCACTTTTATGTCTTTGGGAAGAAGCTTGGGCACCCAGAGAGAACCCATTGTTGCCAATTTATAATGTCTGTGGGAAGAAGCTGGCGGACCCGGAGAGAACCCACACATGCTACTTTTATGTCTGCGGGAGGAAGCCGGAGCACCCGGAGAGAACCCATGCATGCTACTTTTATGTCTGCGGGAGGAAGCCGGAGCACCCGGAAAGAACCCATGCATGCCAATTTATAATGTCTGTGGGAAGAAGCTGGCGGACCCAGAGAGAACCCATTGTTGCCAATTTATGATGTCTGTGGGAGGAAGGCGAAGCACCCAGAGAGAACCCATGCATGCCACTTTTACGTCTTTGGGAAGAAGCTGGCGCACCCAGAGAGAACCCATTGTTGCCAATTTGTGATGTCTGTGGGAAGAAGCTGGCGGACCCGGCGAGAACCCACACATGCTACTTTTATGTGTGCGGGAAGAAGCCGGAGCACCCGGAGAGAACCCATGCATGCCAATTTGTGATGTCTGTGGGAAGAAGCTGGCGGACCCGGAGAGAACCCATTGTTGCCAATTTATGATGTCTGTGGGAGGAAGGTGAAGCACCCAGAGAGAACCCATGCATGCTACTTTTATGTCTTTGGGAAGAAGCTGGTGCACCCAGAGAGAACCCATTGTTGCCAATTTATAATGTCTGTCGGAAGAAGCTGGCGGACCCGGAGAGAACCCATGCATGCCAATTTGTGATGTCTGTGGGAAGAAACTGGCGGACCCGGGGAGAACCCACACATGCTACTTTTATGTCTGCGGGAGGAAGCCGGAGCACCCGGAGAGAACCCATGCATGCCACTTTGTGATGTCTGTGGGAAGAAGCTGGCGGACCCGGAGAGAACCCAGAAGTTCACGAGTTTAGATCTCCGGGACCATTCCTCCCAACCACATCTCTCCAGGTCTCACTGTCATTGCCCATTGCCTTGTTGAAGTTCTCCACTAGAACAAGGGAATCCCTGAGGGGTACACTCCAGTACACCCTCCAAGGACTCCAGAAAGGGTGAGTTCTCTGAACTTCCCTCTTGCTCACCGCGGTAAACCCCAACATGCAGGCACCAAGATGGGGGTAACAAGAAAATGTTTTCTGTTCCTGTGGTACCTGTCTGAGAGCCTTCATTGATGTGTGTGTGTGTGTTGTTTTTCATCTTCATTTGATTGTCTACTTATAGATGAGTGGTGTAACTGTTTTAATCAGGATTTATAATTAATTCCAAAAACATCTACAAAAAATATATATCAAAGAAAAAAATGTACTTTTCCCCTTTCCTATCTTACACCCCTTTCCTCCTTGTTGACCTCATTCTTTGGCTAGATCTCCATGCACTCTGAAGTCGTAGAGGCAGGTGTAGCCCGATTCTCCCCAGTTGCTGTTCACCTGTAGTGTAACATGGTTGTAGGGGCCAACTTTATCAGCCTGTAAGCCAAGAGAGATACAAATTAGGGAGGTTAGATTGGTAATCCATAGCTGCAAATAGACAATAGAAACAAAGGAGGTCTGTCTTAAAGTGCATGGAAGCCTAGTTCAACTGGCCTTGCTATAAAAATATTTTGCATAGTATTTCTCAAGATAGCAAGGGAAGTATGTTGATATCTTGCTAAAACAAACTGTTATGTAGTAACACTGGGATTTTTTGTTGGTTTTTTATCATGAGATGTCAAAAATGATTGTTTTGTCATAAGAGGTTGACTTTTTTTTGTTGTTGTCAAGACATAATAAAAGTTGATGTATTCTTTCAACAAGATTTATGCCAAGAAAAAAATATTGTCCTGAAGAGATGGCCAAAAATATCAACTGTTTTTTTTTTTGCATCTGTTCAAGTTGATCGCTCCGTATCTCTGTGTTTTGGAATAGTTAGGGTTCGATAACAAAGCTTTCTGTGGCTGCATATGCAGGTGGAGCCTGGTGATGCATCTAGGCACTATTTCTAGACGACATAATTGCTACAAAGTTGACTAACTGATTATTTTTTTCAATGCTTTCTATCAGTTGCAGTCTCACTCGAGAGCTCTGGGAGTGCAGCATTAACATAATTTTTATGGTTTAAATAGAAATTTTAGTGGAGCATTTTGAACGGAACAATAATACGGTATCTGCCATTTTATTTAAAGTATTTTTTTGTATATTGAATGCTATTAATACCCAGTTTAGGAAAAACAATCAATATTTATAACAGGGTCAGTCAGTCTGGGCTTCTGAGTGAAATGTATTTGGATATTAAAACATTAATTTGACATATTTACAGAAAGTTTGAAGGTCTGAATTTGGTCTCCATTTTCGTCATATATGAAAGTTCCCAAATGAGTTTCCTCATCTTCTAAATTCTTCTTTCCCTGAGACAAAATTAGATAGAAATCCAGTTCATTATCTTGTTCTTTCTAGAAATGTGAAAGTTAGTTGGTGTAGCTGAAAACATATCACTTCCTGAGATAAGCAGAAAATTCATTAGTGCAGGCAGAATGTTTGCATCATTTAGAATGAGATCAAGTGATGTCATACGGAATCAATGCTATCACAAGTATACTTAAAATATGCAATAGGTGGATATATATATATATATATTACAGTTTTGACACTCGTTTCACTTGACTTACAAAGACAGAAAACTCTTTAGGAGCACTGGAGACGGAGGACGTTGGGGACACAATCTTTCGAATGTGGCCCAGGGACACATGTCTGATGATGGCTGTGTGAGACAATGAGATGGCCAAACGTCCCGGGAAGCCTGAAAAGGCCCAGCATTGTCCAGGATGCAGATGAGTTCTTCCCTGAAAACAGAGAACAAAACAAAGTTTAGGTGGGGTACCAAGACTAAGAGAAAAGGAAATCATAAGGCCTAATATTATATCAACAAGAAACATCACTTTTTTCCTAATATTTCTTGAATAATCTAAGTGTCATTAAGACCTGAATAACAATGTCTGCATCTATAGCTGGTGCCCTGATAGGCAAACCAAGTATTCTACATCCAATATGGCTTTCACATGACTCTGTTGTTTTTTTGTACAAAATCGTTGCTCCTATACACAAAACACAAGAAGAGAAATAATGTGAGTCAGAAAAATTTGATACTGAAAATGTGCAATCTAGTTGATTATCTTATTTGTAATGGGTCACCTTGAGAGTGGAGAGCAAAGTTTGGCCACAGGTCTACTTCTGGTAGAAGGTAGTTAATTTTTTTCTCCAACATCTGCAGCCTGGAGAGATGTCCCTGATCCTCAACTCCAGAGATTGGACCCTGTGCACAACATAAAAGTTAACAGCTTGTTCTCATGTTTGTTCATGATAATTAAATCAGTGTTAGGATTAGGAAGAGAAAGCCTACCATGTCTGTCATAGTTGTTGTAAGAGACATCTTAGACGGTCGTGGGCAAATAATCCACCAAAGACAAGCTGATGAACATGAGCAGAAGACAACAGTGAGACGAATTTCAAAATACAGACTTTCTGTAACACTTCCAAACGGATTGTTTGTGGGAGAGTATTTACCACAAGTGACGAAGGTGAAAAAGAATAAGCGGGTGATATGGCGAATGTTTATCAGACAGTCTATCATCTGGTTTTCTCGGTCCAAAATAATTTGCACCGCACGAGTCTGATGCCTCTCTCTTAATGATATCTCTTCATTTGTCGGGCGGTTTGCTGGGCGGTTTGCTGGGCGGTTTGCCGGGCGATATGCCGGGCGGTTCGCCGGGCGGTTTCTAGGGGGACTTACTGGGCGACCTGTAATGTACCTCCTCCTGACCCAAGATGGAAAAAATACAAGTGAGTAAATATGTACATTGATCAGCAGATGACTGCATAAGACATAAGAGTTTAAAAAAAAAAATTGCTGATTTAATATACCTCACTGCTGTTTCCCTGTAGGAAATAACTGGTTGTCCATATATATCGTAGTAGCCGTTCCTTAACAAACGTTCACTTGATCTTTGCATGACTGTGAAAAAAAACCAGACACGCAAAAGTGGTCAATGACTTGCACAAAGCATGTCTAAAATGTACAACACAACTCTACAGAAAGTCATTTTTATAGTAAACACTGTAAATTTAATGATCATTTAGTTACCTATTATATTAAATCTATCATTTCATGTGTGAAAATCATCAACTATCTATAAAACCTTAAGGAAAACCAATTTTTTTGCATGAAAAACTGCATGTTTCAATACTCAACAAACTTAGCAAACATGCAAAAAGACACTAAAACACAAATGAGACATTTGATATTTTCATCAAAAAATTTGTAAAATGGTTTGATGTTGACCTCTGCAACATCGCTTCACAATTCCTTCACAAAATTCAACTTTTCTTCTTTGCCTCACTAATTTCTAAATAAATACTTACTTGCAAAACTGAAGCTCAATGAAATTTCTTGAAGTAATCTGTCTGAGACGAACTCTTCAAATGGATAAATTCCTGTAGGAACTCCTCTTTTATTGACAAAAGTTCCAAAAGCGCCTGATGACTAGTCAGTTTATGTGACATCATAATGCTCAACAGAACTTGCCCACAATTCATTTCTGTTTCCGTTAGATTAATTTCAAAGATTCAAATAAAATAATGTGCAAAAGAAAAAAAGTCCATTCTGCTGTTAAATTAGTCAATCAAATCACTGCTCTCAACAAAATCAAGAAATCTTTACTTCCCGACTGGCATTTACAGAGTGCATTTCACATTTCACATATGGTTAAAGGCTGGTTCATCCAGTGCAAACACTTCTCTTAAATTGAAGTAGTGTTTTGTTGAACTTATTTTGAAATCATATTTTTGTTTATGGGGAGATCTGATAAAAGCTCAGCTGGCGAGCATCTAATGAGGCATTCACACTTAAGGAGTGCAAATAGGTCAGAGTGCTTGATGCAGTTTTCCACTGATAGGATGTCTAAAATGATTTAGTCACCAACCAAAGTCCCAAATATCAACCAAACCTCAACCAAATATCGGATCAAGGTTGATGTTTTGCAGAAGCTCTCAATGTGAAGGGCTAAATTGGCAAAATTGTGAGAACCGAGTCTCTGAGGACACCCCTGCTAAAAAACCTTATTGAAAAGTGACTACAAAGTGGTCATGAAATATTTCTATACTGTTTTTTCCAAAGTACTGTTTGAAATTCTATACTGTTTTCACTATGGTCTACAGTCCTAAGTACTTTTAAGTACTTTTGCAAACCTGTCTGTTCTTTACATGGAATAAAGTTTAAAAAATGCCTTCTACCAGAGTTTGTTTTGATTCAAAATGTCCTTGGAGCTTCAGCTCTGCTTTGAGCAGTTTTGGGTGCTCAGCTCTGTGGCCTAGAGCCTCATGATGAGTCTAGATCAAACTGCTGCAGCCTTGCTGGTAAAAATCAATCAACTTAAATGGGAGATTGAGTGCCTGAGATTTATAGTGAACATGCTCCAGAAAAACCAGATGCTAACATCAGGGCCGTGCAGAGACCTTTGGAGGGGCAGGGGCTCAAAGTTAAAAAGAAAAAAAGGCCACATTGAACAAGATCTTAAAGCACCGTATAACACCATCGCAACAATCCTTATTAATCCAGAATTTAATTTAAATATCATTGCCATCATGTGGGGAAATGCAAAGCAAATGTAATATATTTTCCCCAACAGATACTGTATATTGTTGATGTTTCTGCAGTTTACAGTCTTGGAGGGCTGGGTTCATCTGAGACTGTAGCTGTTAAACAGACCAGAACAGAGAAGGTCGCTGGTTATGAAGTTATGAAATAAGAAAATTTGCTGCCATTTTACTAATTAAACCCTAAGAATATCTATTTAACCTCTGAAACAACTTGGCTGATTTATAGATCAAAAAAGCTCAAATGGGTTAACTCTATATGATGTTTTGATGTTAGCACCTCTGAGATCTAGAATTGTAAGAGAAGCAGAGCAGGTGGTAGCAGGTGGTACTGGGGCTTTGAGGTACGTCGGGAATCGCTGTGACAGTCGCAGTACAGACAGACATTCTTTCTATCTGTCGGTGGTACCGACCCAGACCGCCTGTAGTGAACTGGGCTTTTAGCAGAATGATAAAGTTAATCATTCCCTGATTGATTAACTTTATCAATCAGGGAATGATTTTCCCTGCAGCCGAAGCTTTTCTCTGTTTAGGAGCGAGGAGGTGTTTTCCCCGCTTTTGCAAGGACAATTATGAAAATATAAATAGAAACAGTTTTTCTAACGTCAACATCAGACCTACGTTTTAATTCACAAACCAGTGCATGAAAAAATATTCTTGCCCATGATTTGATAGTTAGAGTGTGCAGATCCTCCGCCCTCTTCCTCACCATGGACCGGGAAGAAACTGAGTCATTATTAGACTGAGGGCAGCCAGACTAGTTTATTTTTCTAGATTATTACATTTAGCTTAATATCATTGCTAAGGGGCACAATCAGGCCTTCTGATGCACAGATTAAAAAGAATAATAATAAAAAAAAAAAGTTTAAAAAAAAATATTGAAAAGGGTACTAGGGGCATCAAAGGTAAAAGTGGCAAGGGCTCAACCCCCCCTGTACCCTCCTGGCTGCCTGGCTGACATCCAGGACGCCCAGCAGCAGCAATTAAAGTGTTCCTCTTTTGCCGCCAGGTGGCAGCCTTGGCTCGCTCTTAAATGGGTGGTTACAATCTCTAATGTTTTAATTGTGTAGTGGCATGTTTTATTTAAAACTGTAACTGCGCGACTGTTTGACGAAGTAATAATAGGACAGTAAATTACAGTTTTAATGCGTTTGATGTTGTGAAGCAGATTGCACTTTAAAGAGTAAACATAGCTTTCCATTGACCTTATGTAAAGTGGTCTACTTTATATGAACTCACTCCAGTATGTTTTAATTTGAATTCAAATGTGAAACTTTGTATATTTAAATTAAGATCCAGACCATTTTAAGTCAAATTGACTTGAATTAAAATGGTGCAGTGCAAAAATGAATAAAATCTGAAAAAGATACAGTTTAAAATGAAAGTTGCATAACGCCAAAGGTTTCTTTCTCGATATGAAATCAACCCGTATTCATAGATTTAGAAAGAAAGGAGTAGAAATTTTCCCCATTTCAATGCTGAACGTTGTACATCACCTTGTGCCACTTGACAGAAGTAAAATGTCTTTATAAGAGCAATAAATGATGAGAAACAGCCAGAAAAGTCTTAATATCCAGAGGAAACCAGCAAAAATACAACATTTTTAGAAGTTCATAGAATATGATGTGGGCTATTGATTAAAAAGGGGAAAGTGCTTATTTCCTGAGCATCCTAGAGTTAAGTACTAATAAATACAAACATGACATGGACGCAAACGCGCCTGGCAACAGCGGAGGGGGCGTGGCCTAAACTCAGCCGGGACAGGAAGGGTTTGTTTTACTCTTCAAAGTGCTGCTTTCACGGCCCGGTTGTTCCGATTCCCCCCCTCAAAGGCAGCATGCTTTATGATCTGATGTATGAAAAGCAGCAATAGCTATGGTGGCATTAGTACACCAGCGGCGTTTACAATGAATGGACTTCCGGATTTTGTCCCGCTCAGGTAAGACCATTTGGATCAAATCATCAGAAGACAGCTCAGCAGTTTAAGCTAGCTGCCCTCCCTCAGAGACTGGGGTCGCAGGATGCGAGTGATGTGTTATAAAGCATGTTATAAAGCGCGATCATCCATTGTTGTGTTATCATCCAGGTTTGACGTTTTTGGTGGCTTTAATTAGAATTTTTGCTTAAAGTGAAGCGTCAAATGGAAGATCAGATGAAGAAATGTCCCGACTTGGTGAACGTGCTGCATTCAATTTCAATGAAAATGTTGCAGAGCACGTTTGAGGAAGAGATAAGCTGTGTATTTTGTAGACGGTGTATTTTCGTGTGTGAATCCACACAAAGCCAGGGTGTGGTGCTCAGATCAATAACAGCCACACCTTACAGATGGATCACACTGTGCATATTCACCCATGACTTTAAAGGGCAACATGACTGTTTTACACTGCTTTTAATCATAACCCGGGGCATAACCATGCTTTGAAGGAGTGTGCTTTTTGTCACTTACAGTAAGTATAAGAGTCTTATAACTGTTACAAAGTTATAAGACTTTATAACAACATAAACTAGTGCATAGGCCTGCATTTTATTTTTCCAGCGGAATGCAATGTAATTCTGTGACTTTTCCACTACATGCACGGACATGCAGTCAAAAGCTCGTTCTTCCTGGGAACTCTGGTGCATATGCTGATGCTGTCTGCAAGAAAAAGCACACACCAAATTTATAGTCTTTTCTTTTTCTCTTTTAGCGTCTGTGGGGAGAGAGAGATTTACCTCTGGAATAAGGTCACAGCAGGATAGCTGGATGCTGTTCAAGCTTGTTTCTGTTTAGAGACAGCGGTGCGCCATGGTTCTACGGGCGTCTCCTTTCCCCAACGGGTTTGTTGCTGGCATCCACGCCGTAGGATGGGCGTTAATTGTGCCATGCTTTTGGTATCTTGATCGAGTTATTGCTGTGTGCAAGTCCACCACAAAGGAGGTGAGGGAGCGACAGGAGGAAGAATGCTACCTCCACCCACTCAAGGTCTTCTTCGGCTCTATTTTCTTCTTCATTTTCTTCCTCCTCACAGCCCCCTTGGCTTTCTTGGGATTTTTGCTCTGGGCGCCGCTTCAGGCCTGCCGCCGGCCGTTTTCCTACCACAGAGAGGAGCCGACCTCAGCAGAGAGGGAGACAAACAGAGGCTTTGAGCAAACGGGAAAGGCGTCCTTTACCTTCGCCTCAGCCAACCTGTGTCTGTTACCAGACAGCCTGGCTCGCTTCAACAACCTGGGCCACACCCAGCGCAGGGCGTACGAGATTGGCAAGCGTATCGCAAAGAGCGTTGTGCGACCCAATGTGATAATCACGGTGGAATCTCCCAGCAGCTGCGGCCCTGTCAGCCCCTCTGACAGCATCATCCCCAGAGCATGCTCAGACACAGATGGGGGCTTGGACGGGCAGTCTCAACCCACAGGAGATCATCGATCGGAACCAACCGAAAGTTCTGCATCCTCTGATGACGTAGACGAACCACTGACCGAGCCATCCTCTTCTCAAGCGAATTATAATGAGAACTCCAACAAACAGGGTCAGTCTGATCGCAAGAGTCCTGCTGTTTTGTTCTTCCAGCGTACTCGTCAGCAGGACGAGGAACCCTGGGAGGTGTCACCCTTCTTTCCAGCCAATATCGACATACTGTGTCTGGAAGAGGTGTTTGATAAGAGAGCTGCTAAAAAGCTCACCAATACACTTAAACCATTGTTTGGACACATACTGTATGACGTTGGCGTGTACGCCTGCCAGCCGCCGTGCAGATGTTCTGCCTTTAAGTTCTTCAACAGTGGTCTGTTCATGGCCAGTAGGTTCCCGGTACTGGAGGCCCAGTACCACTGGTTTCCCAACAGCCGTGGGGAAGACGCTCTGGCTGCCAAGGGTCTGCTCTCCACTAAGGTGCCTAGTTAATCTGACTATAAATTGTTTTTTATTTATGTGTTGAGGAATGTACTAGTACATCAGCTGCCTGAGCTAATCTATTAGAAGAGATTGCATCACAAACATCAAAAAATATATCCTAAACAGTTAAACATGCTGGTTCAGCTAAATAATCTTTGCTTCCTGATTAAGGAAGAGGTACAAAATGCTACATAAATAACCCAAACAGGTTATTAAGTTAAATTAAGTCAAGAACTGTTGGAACTAGACGTGGAACAATCAGAATATTCCGCACCGAAACCAATTTTGATTTTATTCTGAAAATCTATCTTGCTAATTCCATTTTATTTTTAGTTTAAAGACTAAACTAAAAAGAGAAACCTTATGTGTTTTTTAACACATAAGGTATTTAATCCATCAGAGAACGGAGGAAAATTAGCCCCACTTATGCATCGAAGCATGTGGGGATCTGTTTTTTTATTAAACTTACAACAGTACAAGCTGTTGGGTGATTTGTTTATACTTCAAAAATGCTGGGATTTAGTTTGCATATGATGACCCAGAAAAAAAATTCAGATTTTTTTCAGCATTTTACCTACCGTTTGTCGATCTAGTGTCTCCACAATAACCACTGGGCACTGTGTTTGAGAGGCAACCGGAAATAAAGCCTTTTCAGTCCCACCATCACAAAAGTAAACGTTTCCAGTTTACACATACTAACTGGAACCACAACACACGTCCACTGTTAAGTACGGTGAAGCATCTGTGATGCTGTGGGCCTCTTGCTTGGCTGTGGGAATCTTCTTAAGGATACCCAGCAGTCTGAATGATCTAGAGAGATTGTCAGAAGAAGAAGAATTAGATTATTCTTTCCCATGTGCTCCAATTTGCCAAGTAAGAGGAACAATGTATTATTGTCAAAATAAGACTAAGGTTATTAGTTTGTATTTTTCTATTCAAGCTATATAAATGCCTTCAAATTAAAGGTTGGGTTGTCTTTTTAGAAGTTAAATGTGATATGACGCTCCTGTTAAACATGCTAAATTTTTTGAAGAAGGTAGTGGAAGATGGCAATAAGTTCTGGAGGGGGCTGGATTTGTTTTACCAGTGACCCTAAGATAAGATCAAACCCCATGATTTGAACATTTTCAGGTTCTAATCGGGCAGAATCAGAAACAGAAGAAAGTGGTTGGCTATTTCAACTGCACGCATCTTCATGCACCGGAGGGTGAGCGACAATTTCATAGTTGGTTCGATCAGATAGGCTCACATTCTTAAACAATGTTCCCCGTGTTGTCCACAGGTGAGGGGAAGATTCGCTGTGACCAGCTGGACATGGTCTCCAGGTGGATCGGGGAATTCCAGGCCGCCCACAAACAGCCTGATGAGGAAGTGGTATTTGATGTTCTCTGCGGGGATTTTAACTTTGATAACTGCTCACCTGGTACGTCTCATTCGTAGTTATAGGTGGTATAATGCTTCGATTTTGGACATTTCGGACACAGTGTTATTTTAAAGCTCATTTTTAGACCTATATGAATAAGCGTGTAATCTGTCCTGTGTAGATGATGTTTTGGAGCAGAACCATAGTTTGTTTGAGGAGTACAGAGATCCGTGCAGAGCAGAAGCTGGAAAAGAAAAGCCTTGGGTTATCGGTTGGTATTGTTTACATCTTTAAAGCCAGACTACATACAGCCCATACAGACTTTTTTTTTTCCCTGACCAAAGGTACTCTGCTAGAGCAGCCTTCTTTGTATGAGGAGGATGTGAACTCCCCAGAAATGCTACAAAGGTATTTTTTAATTGTTTTCTTCTGTTTACTGAAGCAGAAATACAATGATAGTTGCATTATATACATTTAGAGTATTCACTGTGGTGACTTGCCGAACTGTTTTCTTTTCTTTGTGTCTCTGTAGGACTTTGGTAACAGAGGAGGTGAGGAAGCAGTACATCTCTCCTCCTGTTCCTAAACAGGATGTTCCTCTGGTTTACCCAGAACCCGGCCAGCCTTGGATTGGCCGTCGGATTGATTACATTCTCTACCGGGAAACCTCTATTTCAAATCTCTGCAGAACAGTACGTTCATTGTTGAGTTCTTATCTTACCCTGTTCTGTTCCCATTTAACTCATGTTCCTCCTCATTCCAGAAAATAGCCTAATGAATTGAGAGTTTATAATATATTAACAAATTAAAGCAAAACTAACATTTTGGGTTTGCTTTTACCCATGCAGGAACTGGAAGAGGTGACCTTCATATCTCAGCTGGCTGGGCTTACTGATCATATTCCTGTTGGCTTGAAATTGAAAGTCAGTATGAACGCTGACCATGAGGATGAATGAGAGCTTATTTTAAAGAGCCAAATGTTCACAATTGTACACAGCTTTACTTTAAACTGTTGATTGACATACTTGAATTTGTCATTTTAGAAAAACTTTTAACCACTGGTAAGTTTGTGACACAGGTGGAACTTACTTTTTTAAAATACTTTTTCATGGTTCCACATTTCATATGCATTTTATACATTTAGAGCTGCTCGGAGTTGTTGCATTGATCTTTATGAAGCTACGTTTTGAATCATCAGAAAAGAAAATTCTTAAATAAATCAGAAGGACTACTTTCAGTTTTCTATCTTTCTATAATGTGTCATCTAAGATGATGTCAAATATCTGACTATTAAACTCATTGATCAAAGGTGCTAGTAAGTTCATAAAGTTTGCATGCATGATCACAAATTTACTATATCTCATAAGCAAACAGCTGCTATGGGTTTGTGTATTTATAGGTTGATTTTATTATGTCACTCAGAATAGATTAGAATGATCAGAATAATTAGGATGATTATAAGAGATTAGATTATGTCAGATTGGTTTAGATTTGTTTTTTATTATTTAATAAATGATATAACTTAAAAATGCTCCTTGGTGTCTTCTCATATTGTGTTCTTCAGCTGTTTAATGATTAAAACAAACAAAACTATACGATATCTATAAGGGAGCAGCATTTTTTTCATGGAACTGTTCAAGAGAAATGCAGTGTACTCAATGTTAATTTTATTCAGTTAAACCCCAAATTATTCTTTTAGATATGATAATAATGTAAATAAAATCATCTGAATTATCTTTTTAAAATCGATACTTCTTTCACTTTGTTTCATTATCATGTATAATTTTCGATCACAAACAACCTTCTTGGTTGAATTTAAAAGAGTATCTAATCAAAAGATAACAGGAGGTCTGTGAGTATTTCTTACATTAACTGTTAGTCTCAACAAATCAATGAAACAAAAATGAAAATATTACTATCTAATTACTACAGATGACAAGTATGTCATGATTCTAATTAAGTAATTAAACATGTTACTCTGAAAGTGCTCTTTGTGTTTGGACTTGTTTCACTCTATCATAAATCAAGATAAACCATTTAAAGCTGGTTTATAATCCTTTGGTTTATAATCCCATTTTGTAAAACACAGCCAGTGCTGTTTTTCGCCGAGAGGTGGCGGTACTTCCAGGTATCTTGTTCGCCGCACAGAAAACAACGAAGAACTGAACAAACCAATCAGAATCCAAAGACAAGATCCACTTCCTGTTTTCACCGCTCGTGGGCAACCTTCACAGAGAGCGACTGTTTTGCTTCGTAGCTTAAAAACAATGAATATTCTGTGTAGATCCAGGATATTGGTGTCTTCAGTTTGTCGGAAAAGTAGTTTAATAGATCAGTCGGCTGTTCCTAGATGCACGAGTTTGATATTCAAAGCCCGGTGCCACAGGCTTGTTGTTAATTTATCCTCATGTCAACAACGCTGGCGTTACGGAGCGTGTCTCAGGTGTCCCTTTGAGTCAACGAGATGCTACACAGATAGAGGCGAGGGCAGACTCACAGAAAGACCGGAGAAATTAGAGGACGAAACCGAGGAGGTGGAAGATAATAGGAGTAACTCTAACTCCCAGAACCAGGGTAAGATATATCTATCTGCTATAATGACAAATCATGTCATTATCGCAAGCATGTGTATTTTTTTACTGCATAAATGCGATAAAAATAATTCAGAAAATGAAAGACTCATATAGTTATGGGAACATGCTGTTTGTTGCTAATCGAGGCAAAATTAGCCATTTCCTGTCATTTATTGGTGATTGATCAGTCCTGCACTGTTTTTTTTTAAATTATAATTTCATGTACTAAATATTTTTAAGTTAGTTTTTGACTATTAAAGGTTACAAGTATTTATTTTTCATCTTGCTTTGTGAAGTCTAATATAGGATGCTTTATAATAACAATAAACAGTCAAATTAATTCATTATGAAAGTCAAGACAGTCTTAAAAATTCTCAAGTACTTGACATTTTTCTTATTTTGTCCAGGACTTCCCGAGGTGTTCACTCTCGACGTTTTGATCTCTCTGCTGCGTCAAGAAAATGCTGTGGACCTGTGTGTGATTAAAGTGCCGGATCATGTTCAATATGCAGATTACTTCATTGTGGTCAGTGGTGTGTCACCAAGACATCTCCGTGCCATGGCTCTTTATGCTGTCAAAGTGGTAACTATTCTTAACTTGCTTTCTGTTCGATATATTTATAAAAGCAGCCTACATTTGTTTTCAAAGTCAGTAATAAGACTTTCTCTCCTTCAGTTCAAGTTTATGAGGAGACATGGAGAGCCACATGTCAAGATTGAAGGCAAAGATGCAGAGGACTGGATGTGTGTTGACTTTGGTGTGTAAATCTCCTAAAGAAAATGATTTTTTTTTCCTACTGGTGTTGCTGTTTTAAAAGTGGATTTTGTTTTTTCTTAGGGAAAATGATTGTTCACTTCATGTTGCCTGAGACCAGAGAGGTGTATGAACTGGAGAAACTGTGGACTTTACGTACCTACGACGAGCAGCTGAAGAAAATTCCTGCAGAGATGCTGCCAGAAGACTTTATTTTTGATGCCAACGAATTTACAAAATAACTCTATATTTCAACAGAGCCAGAAGTAAACTAATTCATTAAAATTTTTAGCTGACTTTTTCAGTGATTAGTTGGTGCATGTGCTTTTGTATAAAATAAAAAAAAATGAACAAGATCAGTCCTTACTTTTTTTTTTTTTTGCATCGCCACTATGCCATACTAGTAAAGTTTGTAAAATGACTTTGAGTTCTTTAATATCTGCAGCATAGTCCCCAATAACTTTGAAGATTTTTAAAATTCTAATTTAGTTTTACTTCCTTTATCTTCTTGATAACGGTATCAGGTAACAAGATCAATATGAAACCTTGCTGATCCAGCTTGTTTAACTTTCTACATCGTTGCCCAGTGCGGGTATGAGCAACTTTAGACCAGAAGCTATTTTCTTGTCACCACATCCTGACTTATTAAGATTCAGGCAAATCTAGCTCTCCTGAATGAAATGTTCTCCTATCTTTCCCACTTTTAAGAGTGGATATGAAAATTGTTACATTGTAACTGTACTTGGAAGCATGAGATAAAGGATCACTGGACAAAAGTACAACAATGTGGAGTTTTCATTGCAGCAATTTGGATGTGCAAAATTAATAATAACCTCAGAATTGGTGGTTTGCAAACATGATTCTACTTCAATAAGTCAATTAACCATTATGTACATATATTCTGTGGGAGATGAACATGAATATATAGTGAACAGGTAAAATTAGTCTGTAGGACTGAGGAACAGCAGTTTTTTAATGATCAGGAGGAAATAAAAAATTGATACATAAAAATGGTGTGTGTATATATATATATATATATATATATATATATATATATATATATATATATATATATATATATATATATATATATATATATAGTGTTTTAGCAACACTATTTTAATCTTACACACCGCTAGTGGGTTTTTTAAGGATCTTTTTGAATTTTTCAGCAGTGGAAGTTCAGCACTGCTATTTTTACAATGTTAACATTTCAACGTATCTAGGGATGGAGAGTGGTTCATCTAGAAAGCTGTGCAGTAGCAGATTATAACAGTTTGCCCACCTTGCAACCTTCCAATTACTGAACTGACTCACAGCAGTTTGCTACAAAAAGGGATGGAAGGTAACCAAAGCAAACAATTTCAAAGCGATGTTTTCTTCTTGTTCAAACAGTTGGATTGGAGCATACAGGAAAAACAATGTTGTTTGCTAAACTTTTACATACCACATGGTTTAACACAGCACTTAAATTGACTGAAAGGCTGACCTCTGGCTGAACGTCACTGAACCATGTTACAGTTCTCAAAACCAAGTTTATGACGAAGTATAAAAGCAGAGCGGCACCACTGGTTCAAACCTTCTACTCAACAGCTTCAACGTACTAGGCAACCTCAATACACAATCAGTGTCTGACTCTAGGGTCCAACTCCTAACTGCTAATTATAACACAATTTATTTAAAATCAAACACACACTCTGTTGGGTACCAATGGTGATTCTGACATAAAATGTTGCTCTGGGTCACTTTTAAACAATGGACAATTACAAGTGATTGGTCATTTTACCCAGTGGGCTTCAAGCTTAGCTTCAGTCAAACTCCAGTCTCTTGTTATATCAAACAAAAGTATTTCTAATGTTAGTAAAGTTTGTACACGATTAAATAACAGAGGGTTCATTTTTGAACAATTTGTTATTTTATCATGCTCTAGCCACATTATGTGACAGATAAACACAAAATAGAGCAAAATTGTAATGTTGTAATGTTAGAAAACCTTACTGTTGTAAGGTTTTCTAAGTTTTCTATAATAAATTTGTGAAGTGTAGCATATTTCCTATGCCCCTGATATGCAACCAGCTAATAGCTGAGTTTTTTGGAGGGAGTGTCTCTACCAAGCAAAGACTCATCTGACTGATCTTGAGCTTTTTGTTGTTTATCAAGTAAAATTGAACAACAGATTATGTAAAACAATGAAGTTTTTTATTGTGATGTAACAAAAGGTGATAAAGTTCAAGTTGCACTATTAATTTTGTAAAGCACTGTATAATACATAGCATACTAATATATGTTATAGGGTGATATAACCCTTTAATATATGGGTTACATATATGTAGCCATGGCTACATTGGCTCGTTGTCAGGTGATATGCCTGTGCAAACCTCCTGCTTGAAAGCTGTCATGCTACTTAATTTTCAAAAATGAGGCCTGGTGATGTGTTTTACCACATTCTGAGTTGTGGTATCAGTCCAGGTCACTTTGTCCCCTTTATCTGCATGTTTACAGATTTAACTGGTTATCTAGCCACAGCTATACGTGTCGTTTCAACTTGTATACTCATAATCACTCTTGACTGTTTGAAGGTGCATAAATGTCTTTCTCCATTTTTCTTTTAACCTTTATGCTGTCTTCCAATACGGTCATACTGTCTTGTTCCTGTGTAACAAACTCTTGGGAATAAAGAAATATCAAACAAGCAACTATTTTAAATTGCACTGACTTTGTATTCGGAGGTCTATAAACATGCCCCTTACTAAAGGTTTATAAATGTTTTGTTTCTAGTTATGGTGTCTAATATTAGCTTGTCTCTGGTGAACTTTAAGAAACACTGGAATGTGAAAAAAAATTTCCACTCAGATTCTGCTGTGTGACATAACGATGTCATTACCCATACAGCCGTTTTACCTACTGTTGTGTGGTCATTAGGAGTCTACTTGTTGATGGGGTAGATTATGAGGAAAGGGGCGATTAGTTATAGCATTCTGCAAGCAGCAGAGGCAGACTATCTCTCCTGCATGAATTGTTTTTGTATAAAGGTGCAGCACGCTGCCCTAAATGGATAATTTCATGCAACATAAATGAACAAAGCCAACATAAAGCTTTCCATCCTGCACTTGTGTGTATGTGACAACTTAATGTTCTGCAGAGAAAACAGGCTGGATAATGGGCAGCTGTTTTATCACTCTCTCAGTATGCATCTATTGGGGAATTAATCATTCATCTCCCAGCGCTTCAGAACACTTTCAGGCCATTGTTGTCCACACTGTTGGGATTCCTGGGCCATTTTAACATCAAGCAAAAATATGCTTTGATCAAAACCATTCCATCATAGCTGTGGCCTTAGGGATTGTTGCCTTTCCAGACAGTGAACCTCCACCACAGTTTAGTCTGTTGCATCCTTTAATGTTTTTCCTGTGATGATTTTTGGAAATATGTTTTTTTTTTTCTAAAACCATGTAAACCTCAATCAATTTCCATGTTTCTCTTGAAGAAAAACATCTCTTTAGCACGATACTGCCATCACACCATGTTTCGTGGTGTGATAAAGGTGAATTCGGGGTGATATTTTAGTGTTAGTGATAGTTTTCCGCCGCACATTATGTTTTGCACACAGACCAAAAAGTTTCATATTAATCTGGTCAGACAAAAACACCTTCAATGGCTGTTTTTGTACTTCTCATTTAAAGTCGCCTTGCAATCATTGGGTTGCCAGCTCATCTCCTGCTCCGCTTGCCTTTATTACTGGAGTTGGTTGTTTTTGTCAGAATCCCCCGGGATGTGGCTACAGTAAACTAGCTTGCCATTGTCAATGTGTGAATGTGTGTCAATGTGTGTCAATGTGTGTGTACAGAAACGTCTGATTTTGGGGCTTGAACAATGCTATGTAAGTTTGATTTAATTTTATTGGATTTAAATGAAATTGCGGCACACAAGAATGTATTTTCCTCCTGGTGTCACCAAACTGAAATTGCCCTCAAAACAAATTGCCTTCGATCAGTTGTGTTAACTATGTGAGATTCAAAGTGTTTGTTTGTGATGCTTGTGTTTATGTAGTTTGGAGGCTCTTTGGAATACCTTAATAGCTTTAAAACATTTGACATGTCAAAAACATTTTACACAATTTTGTTACATTTGATGGTGATGGATGGATGGGAATTCACTTATGTCAAAGGGCTCCTTGATCTTCACCACACTGTTTGTTCACTAACTTTCTATGACAAACTGCTGAGGCTTTCATGGAACAGCTGCATTTAAGCTGAGATCAAGTATAACACATGTCAGATTTTTATTTGAAAACAAAGAACTCTACTTTTATGCACAAATACGCTCTTGTTGCTGTTCTATTGCGTAAAATACGAAAAGAAATTAATATAATTTGTCAAAATGCCAAAAATTGTATTCGTTGAAAGAACACAGACGATATCTCTTTTACCAAACAGCACACTTGGGACACTCTACATTGTCGCCACCTGGTCCATGTTTGTCTGCCAAACGCAGTGGGACAGAGTATGCAAATCAGATGTACAACATTAAGCAGATTCTTTGCACAGCATGTGTTTATTTTCCAAGGAAAATTATATATTGTCAAATTGAAAGACAGCTTTGTGCTATTTAGCTGTTATTCTATTGCTTTCACTGCCAGAATCGAGAGTGACAACTGAACAGGAATAAAAGAAGACACTGAACACCATGACACGTTGACAATATGATTGGTTTTGTCAACAGAAAATGAAGCTTTTGTTGCTTCTCACCATCAAAAGAGAACTTGGAAATGATATCAAATTGTTAACACATGGCAATGTGTGCTTTATATAACATCTCAATATTTATTGAAAAATATGAGGCCAAAAAAAAAATGTTTTCCCCTTTTTCTCTGCTCATGTAAAGACCTGCGCTAAAGTTCATGTCTATCATAGATAACAGCAGCACTCATCTCCTGTCAAGTTTCACTTGAGTGCTCCTCAAAGAAAATAGTTGCCATTAGACTTGTCTTACCATTTAGAGGGCTGAGAGCAACTTGTGCCCTCCATCACCTGAAATCAGAAGTTTGTGGGTTTGACTGATTTGCTGAGCAGTTTTCCTGTTGTTTGGTATGGTTTGAACCTGCGCAGTCTGGTATGGATCAGAATTGCCAACCTAAATCAACTATGTGTCACTTGGTAGTGCAGAAAAAGCAACTGTGCAACTGTTCCGTATCCTTGTTAACACAAGAGATGTGTTTCTGTCTATAGCTGGAATGCTCGAGGGTGATTATGAGGCATTACAAAAGAAGTACAAGCTGTTTTTATAGAGGAGCTTATCTGGATGTTTTCTCAATCAGCTGTAGCATCGTCTAACCAGGCACATGCAGCTTTTGAACATCAGCCATGGAAAAAGCTTCATATCATTAGCTTTATTCAAGAATATCAAGCAGGATGTGATCATCTAATCTAATTACTGTGAGAATTTCCTTTACAAGAAAATGTGCTGTTTTGACCCCATAATCAATGCACGATAAAGTAAAATGTTATTTCTTCTTTTGTTGTTAAAAAAAAAAAGAATCCATGATGGAGGGGTCTGTCTGACTTTAATAATTAAATTTCCTACCTGCTACACAGGTCTCAGTGATCTTGCAAAACATTAATTTGTGGTATTATAAAGCAGGAATAATTAATTACTCACACACAATGAACTTCTGATGTGGCTCATCTGAAATTATTTAAAAGCAACGGTGGGGCATATGTAGTCCATCGCGTCAAACAACTTTTTAATGAACCTAATGCCGACACCTTTTGTGTTTTCATAATGTAACTGTGCATCTCCATTTTATTCCACTGCTCGGCCATTACAGGTTTAATTAAGCTAATGAGGCAACAGATATTTCTCAGGAGTGGCTTTGAAGGAAAATGAAATTAGCCCCTCTGCCACCCCCTCTCCTCACGCTCTGCGCTCGCTATAAAAGACAGGGCAACGTTGGGAATCTGCTACAGGAGCTCGTGAACAAGCAAGAAAACCCACAACGACCCTTTGATCAAATTATCAAGAGTAAGGAAGTTTTCTGTTTCATCTCAGTTGAAACTTCATTTTTGACAAGAAATCTGGAATACCTTTTGATTTAGACTGTTTATTCTGTGTTGGTGTAAAATCGTTTTGCTTAGTAAGCATTTGCTGGGTTTCCCTCCCCCCCTCCAAATCTTAAGCTAGGACACACTCCAACGCTGTGATGTCGCCAACTCTTCTGGCTCTTTGCTTGCTGGCATGCTTCCTCTCTGGCAGAGATGCTTATCCAGTCAAGCCTGACAATCCCCGGGAAGGAGCTCCACCTGAGGAGCTTGCCAAGTATTACTCTGCACTGAGACATTATATCAATCTCATTACAAGACAGAGGTAAGTTTTTAAATTCCTTTTACATTTTCTTAAGTGCCTTAAATCACCTGAGTCAATCAAGAAGATGCTGATGTGATGATTATTTGACTTTTTCATGCACAGGTATGGAAAAAGAGACAACCCAGACACGTTATTTTCTGACCTGTTTGTGAAAGAGAGCGCAGAAACTCTTCCAGGATCCAACTATATACGGTAAGAATCTAGCTGGGCTAGGAAGTATTTAACCTGCTATTTGGTAGTAAGATATAAACCTTTCATCATTAGGTTTATATCATACTACATGCACTGTAATACTTCTTTGAGCTTCAGCAATTGAAATAAAAGTTAGGGATATACATTTTGAGGCATAAACACAGTCAAATTTGTTACTTCTTCATTTTTAGTTGTATTCAAAAACCACTGCCTCTATCAAAAAACCTGCAGAACGTGTATTTCTCCATTATGTGGTATAGTCAGAATCGGTCAAACTGTGAATCAGTAGGGCAAACCTAAAATGTATCATTCAGTAAAACTCTAACTGGTGCATGTGTAAGATCAGTGACTCTGATGAACTTTGTATGTATTCATGTAGATACGAAGGGCTCCCGGGGTGGTGATTCTGCCTGCTTTGTGACGTCCAGAAGATGGTACATTATGTCTCTTACCAATGTGGAAGAAACTCGTGTTGCATGAAATAAACTTCATTTTTCTGTCTGTCCGGCTGTGCTCTTATTTCTTTGATGATTTTTGATTGTGGGCGAAGGGGCACTAATTATCACACTAAAATTAAGAGAAGTTTTTTTTTTTCAACCATGCATAGAAAGATGGGATTGTTAGCCCTTATGTGAATGTAATTAGTGCACTAAATATTTCTTTTGTAGCAGAATATAGGCAGAATAGAAATTTTTCACTCCTTATCCGAAAACTTGGGGGAAAAAAGCAGGAAAACAGTTTGCAGGAAAAAACTATATAATAATATACCAAACTTATATGGAGCTTTTTAGGACAGTCAAAGACTCACATATGTAATCAAGTGGGTTTCCTTTGTGTCACATATTATTTATGTTTATCTGTGAATTAAGTAATGTATGCAGGTATCAGTTAGTCTGAAAGCGCACCAAAAATCTGTCAATAGTGATGTGTTAATACCTCCTTTAAATATTTTCTTTTCTTTTAATTCAATTTTTTTTTCTGTAGCATCTTACAATTCTGCAATAATGTCGACATCCCTCTAAATATCTTACACAGTAAGACAAACAGCTGCAACAGTTCCTCATCATGCAACAGGTTGGAGTCAAATGATTCATCTTTGCAGTCTCTGGAGTTACCACATTCAGACAGATTTCCAAATATTCCCATCTGAAGATAATCAGAAATTAAAATCATTTGCAGGTGCAGTCCTTTCAAACATTTTCACATTTTGTCACACTAGAAGGACAAGCTTCCATGTAGTTTGATTTGTTTTCCTATTTAATTGATTAGCAAAAAGGAAACCTGGTCTCTGAAGGAGTGTAGTGTTGCAGCATGTGTGACATATAATGTCTGCAATTAGGAGATTTAGGTAGATGACAATCCATGTAAATGCTAGTGATTCCCAAAATTGGAATCACGGTCTATTTGGGAAAATATTAATACGAAACAAAAACAATGCTAACAAATGTAATTTGTAAATTTAAATATAATTTATACTGCTAAGTTAGCTTATTGCAATGGACGCATGTGTAGTTCATTGAGTCCTTTACTACCTGTAGGACTGAAGCTGATAATTTCAGGAACTACTGATGAAGCAGAACCTCCTTAACAATGCCTCTGATTGAAATAAAACTTGATCTATGAAAGTAAATAATAAGACTATTATATGACTATTAAAGTTGGTTATCTACATGGATGAAATGGATGGCTCCCTCAATCGCAGCCTAGAATCTGCAGTCTCAAGACAAGCATCTGCCATACAGAGCACTCCACTCACCCTCCAAACTTGTGGCAGGGGTAATCAGCAAAATCCTGGTCGAACTGCGTGTTTGCCAACCTTATCAAACACACTACTTCTCAGTTCGAAGGTATAAGTGTGGTTGTTTATGGCATAACTGAAGCCTTGTTGCGATTACTTGCTGAAGACTGACTGTCAGAGGGAGCATAAGCTTTTTAGACAGAGAGCCCACATTTCAAGGCACCAACTTATAAAGTCTAATGACTTTTAGCTTATGTTTGGTATATACAGCATTTTAATGTAAACTGAAGGTAACAGTTTCTTGATTGTGCTATGAAATGGCACTATGTGCTTGGAAAATACATACTGTAATACCGCCCCTGGAAGTGCTGGTCATAGGGTAATAGGTCATAGGGTAATAGCAACTCCTTCTGGTAAATTAAAGCATTGCATTTTCAATGGGTATGTTATGCAGAGATTTAGTGCTATAAATATATATATTTTTAATTGACTTCAAATGAAATGTAAACTGAGACAATTATATACTATGGTCCATCAAACATCCCAGCACTGGGAGCCTGACTGAAAACAGATCAGCAGTTTAATACTTTAGTGACCTGGATGAGTCAAAAGCATGGTATGTAACACCACAACAAAAGGCATTTAAGGATCTCTGTAAAGAATAAGCGAAACAAAACCAACTGTACAGTATTTATCATTAGATTTTGGGAAAGTATATTGTAAGTATTAAGATGATCATTCATTTCTAATGATGTGCAGCTTGATCTTTAATGTAAGGCAGATCTGATGTCACTGTATGTAAAAAAAAAAAAGTTATAAAATGACCATTCTAGAAAACACTTGTTGCCATCTGTCAGTAGATGAGGTGAGGAACCATCTGCCTTATTGTTAGCTCACAGTTCAAAGACCAGCATTAGGGACAGATGAGTGAGCATCTGTTTGTGTACATAGCATGGTACATGGGTAATCATAAGCACACATCTGTGAAAAGCAATGGATGTAAAAACACAAGCCAGGTTTTGGAGTACCATATGCTGTCATTCATCTCTCATCTTCTTATGTATATTTATACATTTTTAAATGTATATTTGCGAAACCACACTGATCTCAAACCTCACAGGTGATCAAAATAATAGAAAATCTGATCAGCCTGCAGTCTATATCTGTCATCTACTGTGAGACGCCAACTTAACAGGGAACATGGTGGTGGCAACATCATGCTGTGGGGATGCGTTTATTCTACAAGGTCTGGGAACCTTGGCAAAACTTTTGCAAACGATGAACAGCTAAGTAACTTTATAGGTAACAACCAGGAGCATCTCCACACTAACTTTCAATTAAAGTGTTGTTGGAGAAAAACTGAGACAAAGCAGATTGAAAATAAGTGTCTGGGTAATTGTGTAAGTCTCCAGCGGCCGTGGCGGGTTTGAGTGGGTTAGATAACGCGAAAGCAGCTCTGCATGACTTTCACACCGTGTGTGGACGACAGACAGCTGGCAGAGAAGAAGGGGGCAGGCGCGCTGGAGATGAAATCACAAGTTACTGCTGCGTGAGAGATCGGGGATTCATCAATCTAGTGAATAAAGGAAAAACCATGGAGGCGTGACTGGATTACAGCACACTGGGTATGTTATAACCTAATGGAAACTGGGCAGCAAACGTTTCGATGTCGGACCTGCTGCTTCTTGTTGAATTAACTCTGAAGCTAACGTGGAGTAACGGTTAAGCGCCTAACTAGCTAGCTACACAGCGCTAGGAAGCGGCTAGTTTTGCCTCCCTGATAAATTTTTCTGCTTATAAACAAACAAGAATTTGAAAACACAGATGTTTTAACCAGCTTAGTTTTGTTTAGATATGACACAACAGTTTAATTAGTCACACTTGAAAGATATTTCACAGCTAGCTAGCGGCTGCTAATTGTTAGCATTGCTAACCCGCATGTGGACCGCGAAAGAGGGTCGACTCTTTTAAAATGCCGCTAAAGACCTGACAGCGCGTAGTTTTGCTCATTTAAAGTCAATCTAATAGAAAGTGATTGGAAATTATTATGAACATGTCAGTTTTCCTGTCAGTTAGGCAAGAGGAGACTACTAATAGGAGTAGCGAAAAACACGTGTAGCTTTGACAGCAGTTCAGTCCGTGGAGCCAGCACAGCTTTTCAACATGTTGACTGTTAAGTATCATCGTCTCAAATCCTGTGTGGTTACTTTTATGCAATCAGTGCAAATCACGTGGCGTGTTCTTTTTAAAATAATACTACTCTGTTCTCAAAACTTTAGCTGGATTCCAATATTTCTCAAATACTTTTGAACTCACTCGCATTAAGAAAAGGTCTTCCATGCATAAAACCACTGACAGTTGTTTTTTCAGTCATCTCATTACAAAATAAATTTAAAAAAAAAAGAAAAGATTCCTTATATTTCAGGCTGCAGTTGACTGATGTGGCTTTTTTCTATGGCCCATGCCGATATTTAATAAAAGAGCAGCCAAGGCTAATGGGCCACTTCTTTTTCTGAATTATGATGTTTTTCAAGACTTTGTTGATTTGCGTTATATGAAGCAAATCAGCAAGTTGAGTGAAGCATCTACTCTGATTTGTGATCACTGGTCTTTTTGGCTTTTCGTTGTCTGCCTCAAAACTAATAATGCGTGTAAGCTTCAGTCTTTAAATGCTTGAAGCAGCAGAAACTTGGTAAACATTTTTTCAGTCAAATAGAGATAAGATTATGTTTTTAATGCAGACTTATGCAAAATCTTGTTCCTAGATTAAAAAAAAACAAACATTCTAAGCTTCAACCTCTATCAAGGAATCAATGGCATATTTAATGTTGTTCCTTACTTTTCTATGTTGAAGAAAATGAACGAAATAAAATTGGTTAAAATACAGTTAGCAGGTCAGATGCCATTGGTATCGGTGCAACTCCAGTTGTACTCTGAGACCTTCTGCCCGTTGAAACTCGTGGCACATTGAGCTGTGGTTTTTCTCTCTGTCACTCCTCCTGCACACACAAACAGGAGGCCATTTGATTGACGGCACACTGTAATAGCACAGATTTCACACCTTTATGGTATGCACAGCAGCGCAGTGCTGCCGACAGTCCCATCGCTGTGTTTATCAGCCAACTACATTCGGTGGAGACTAATATTTAAAAATGTATATTTGAAAAAAAATTAACTTTTAGTTGTGAGAGGGGAATGACTTACCACCAGAGAGGCTAGTGTGATTTTTGCTTCTTTTATGCTTTGAATTCTTTTTCATTTATTTATTTTATTATGAAATTGAAATTTTAAACAAACAATCCCTAGTATCTGTTTATCCTTCACATGAAGCAATAGGATAACATGATCAGCTGTTTTGTTTGCGTAACAATTTTGACAAGTCAGGGCACGGTCAAAGAACAACGTACAGATGCTGTTTGAGGTAACAAGTTTTACCTCAAACGAACGGCATCTTTGTTCTTCATTGTGAAAAGTAACACAAGTAGTTGACTTTGGAAGGAGAACTCACCCGATCTTTTACCTTATGTAATAACTAGTACTATTTGCGTATTTAATTTGAACATTTACATTGACTTAAAAAAACTGCTCCCATATATGGAGCAGAGGTAGACAACTAAAGGTTATTTATCAGCGTAATCAGCTTCTTTAAATATTTAAAAGGCCTTTCAGGCACATTTTCAAACAATTGTTGATGCTCAGTGGATGGTTTTCCCTCTTTGTGTTAAAGGCAGAA